AGCGTTCGCCTATTTTTCCCTTAATAAAACGTAACTTAGCTGAACTTAATTACCAGTTGATAGTCAGGAGTATATTGAGGTTACTTGTTCTCCCGATATTTGTTGGGCTAGCAACATTTTAATTTTGTTTGCTGCATCCAGACACAGAGGGCATCACAGTGACTTTCACATTTGTTTCGGGTTTACAGACAGACGATTGCATCCGCCTGCTGCGAGCAGCCATGGATTGGCAGACGGAGGTCATGCTGGAGACCATCCTGGGTCATGGAGTGGACAACCATCTGCTGGGGTTACGAGAGATTGCCCTGCAGTTGGGTAGGCCGATGCCTAATATTTTCAAGGATCAGACCTACGCGAAATCCAATTGGTTCCGGCTGGGAACCAGTCAGGTGAGAGAACGCCTGAATGATCACTCTTTCCCGTAGCTGGTAAACAAACATAAGCCAATATGTATGGCTTTGCTCGCCAGCAAAAGGGGCTACGCTGACTGCACTAACATGTCACAGAAATACTGCACTAACCTGCTACAGAAATATTGCACAATTAATGAACTTACAACCCGTGATGTACGTGTACAGTGACTAATCTCAGGCAATTCCAGATCAGGAATGATAACATAATTAAAATCGTACTATTAACTGTCTTGGAACATAATCTCAAGATACTTCAGACAGAGCAGTATACCGGTTTTTGAACGAGCTTTTTTTGGCTTCCCGAAAAACTTCACCGTATAAAGAATGACTGCCTAATCTGTTTGCCTTTTTCTATAGATTTTTGATGCCCCTACCAATTCAAATTAGTAGTTTATATAAAAACATACTCACTTGATAGAAAATCACATTTTCGTCAAATTTATACTAAAACTAAGACTATGTTTCGGTTTCAAAGATGTTTTCAAATAATTTTGAGCACGAGTTGCCGTTGCATTTGGGTTTACAGTTTTCAGTCTACTGACTATCTGCCTTTCGCGGATAGAATGTACTACAGCCCTGCGTATCATAAGGAAGATGACATATAGTGCACATACAATTTTGCAATTCATTTTGACTATATCACATGGTTCATCGGGAGTATTAATAAACGAACAGCTACGATGCCATCTGAATGGACATCATACAGTTTTACATATTTCGTAATTGAATCCTTTTTCTAAACTAAAGGATAGCATTTCTTCGAGTGAAAAAAAAATTAATGAGGTGGTTTCCTATACAATAAGCGCGCGAAAGGATAGTTGGTTTATGTATGCTATAAAATAAAATTTATTTTACAACTCTGCTAAAGCTTTTTGTTCGAACTGAAAACGCAGTTCAGAATTCGGATTAACGCTTCACGCGATGGTGACTGCTTACATCACCCTGACTTAAACACAGTTGTAAAAGTAAAAGGCGAGTATTAAGTGTCCAATGGCAACGTTCATAGCCGTTAAAGTGTGCCCTAGATGCTAACCATGATCTTGTACCGGGGTCGGCAACTTATGGCTCGCGAGCCAGGTGTGGCTCTTTTAATGATTGCGTCTGACTCAGATTTTGTGATTTTGGTGCCTCCAATGACGTACCGCCGCCGAGACGCGTATTAGAATCAATTTAATCTCGATCAATCTCTGGCGTTTCGGCCCCCATAGGTTTGACCTAGCAGTTGTTTCAATGTTCCCTTTCCGGCTAGCCGACAGCAGCTGCTTCACTTTTGTCCTGCGTCTCAAAGGCCACGACAAGTTCGCTAAACAACAGACGCTCTACCAGCTAGTTGGTTTCACATCCAGTCTCCTACAGTCGTTCAAAGCACGCTTTGGAGAATTTCGGGGGCACACTCGTCTTTTTAAGTTCATCGCCCTTCCAACCGAGTGTTCACTGATCACGGCCGACCTAAGTTATATTCCTGGTGTCTCCGCTAGAGATTTCAAAGAAAAAGTGGCTGACCTGAAGGCCTAAAACATGTGGACGAATAATTTCAACTCATTCAAGGAGGATTTGGAAAGAATCGCATGACATAAAGCGGAGTTGGCAAGCAAGCACACATGGACATAAATTAAAAAACTTCAACCCGAAGACCAGTTGAAAAATCAAAACTTGGAACACGATTCCTGTCACATACCACACACTGTAGCGTGTGAGTATTGCTGTATTGGCGTTGTTTGGATCTACGTCTGCATGTGAGCAGTCATTCTCACATCTTAAATACATCAAGTCCAACCTACGAC